AGGTTGTAGTGAGCTGAGATGGCCCCACTACACTCTAGCCTGGGTGACAAGAGTGAAACTCCATCTAAAAAATATATATATATAGTTTATATAATATATAATAGTTTTATGCATATATTTATGTATATAATTCCCACAGCCCTTGTTACTTCCTAAGTGACTAAAACAATACCCATACCTTTTGTTAAGATATTCGGCCTCTTGTCCTTGGTTCTTTAAGCAACTTCGAAGTGCCTCCGAGTAATAAAGGTGAAAGAGCCTTTTTTATAATGTTAGGGGGCTTTATGCCTCAGAGGAAGACCTCAGAAAGCAGAATCTCTCTATAACCTTCTCCTGCCTTCCTTTCATTTGTCCTTTATTCGCTTTACTTCAAGGGAGTAATTATTCCCCACCTTTCTGTCTTGTAGCTGACCATAAAGAAATTCGCTGATCTACCTTGGCTGATTGCGGGTCATAAGAGCCTTATTTCAGAAAGGGTCCTGCCCCATGCCCTGGGGGAAGGAATGCTGCACAGACAGGCCAAGAAGAATCTGAACAGACAGACCTGGCTGGGTTTCCTCACTCAGTCTGTTAGTATTAGATCATACCTTTTTGTTCAACCACATTTCTACCTGGTTGTCTGTGCTTCAATTATGCCTTTCTAATGACGTCTCCATAAAAGGTCCAAGGGGACAGAGTATGAGGAGCTTCCAGAGAGCTGAACATATGGAGGTTCCTGGAGAGTGGCATGCCGGGGGAGGGTATGGAAACTCCGCACCCCTTCCTATATCTCTCTATGCATCTCTTCATCTGTATCCTTTATAATCAGTTGGTAAATGAAAATAAGTGTTTCCCTGAGTTCTGTGAACCACTTTAGCAAATTAATGAAACCCAAGGAGGGAATTATGATAACCCTGATTTATAGCTAGTTGGCCAGAAGCACAGGCTGCAGTGAGCCATGATTGTGCCACTGAAGTCAAGCCTGGACAACAGAGCAAGACCCAAGACTCTGTCCCTCAAAAAAAAAAGAGAGATCAATCCATCAAGAAGATAGACCCATTAAAATATATGTACACCTGCTACGATTTGAATGGTGGTGTCCCCTTCAAAATTCATGTTTTATCTGCAGTGAGCCATGATTGTGCCACTGAAGTCAAGCCTGGACAACAAGTCAAGCCTGGTTGTTTTGTTTTATCAAGAACAACCTGGGACCTGTGATTGGCATCAGAAGTGGAGGGGTGTCTTGTAAAACTGAGCCCTCAACCTGTGGGGTGTGATGCTATCTCCAGGCAGGTAGCGTCAGAATTGAACTGAAGGACACCCAGCTGGTGTCTGCGGTAGAACTGATTGCTTTCTTGGTGTGTGGGGAAAAAACTTCACACATTGTTTTATGAGAACAGAGAAAATGCAGTTTGCGTTTTTACCTCACATTAATATTGTTCAAGTCTTCCTTTTTCTTGTTGATCTTCAGCCTAGTTGCTTTATCTATTATTGAAAGGTGGGTTATTCTAATCTCCAACTGTGCCTGTTGAATTGCCTGTTTCTCTATTCAATTCTATCCATCAGTTTTTACTTCATGCATTTTCAGGCTTTGTTGTCAGGTTTTATCTTTGTTTGCGCTGCTGTAACAAAGTTCCACACATTGGATAATTTACAAACAATAGAAATTTATTTCTTACAGTCCCAGAAGCTGGAAAAATCTAAGATAAATGTGCTGAAAGGCTGCATGTCTGGTGAGAGCTGCTTGCTGTTTCTATGACAGCGCCTTATTGCTGCATCCTCTGGAGGGAATGAATGCTGCGTCCTCACATTACTCTCTTTATCTTGGATCCCATTTATAATGGTGCTAATCCCACTTGTGAGGGTGGAGGTGACTTAATCGCCTCCCAAAGGTCACAGCTGTTAATACTGCTGCATTGGAGATTAAGTTTCAACATGAATTTTGAAGGTGGCAACACCATGCAAACCATAGCAGGTGTACATATGTTTTAATGGGTGTATCTTCTTGATGGATCGATCGCTCTTTATTTTTGAGGGACAGGGTCTTGGGTCTTGCTCTGTTGTCCAGGCTTGACTTCAGTGGCACAATCATGGCTCACTGCAGCCTTGACCTCCTGGGTTTAAGTGATCCTTTCACCTCATTCTCCTGAGTAGCTAGGACTACACCAGTAGCTAGGACTACAGGCAAACACCACCATGCCCACCACCATTTTAAAATTTGTTTTGTAGGGATGGGGTCTTGCTGTGTTGCCTAGGCTGATCTCAAACTCCTAGGCTCAAGCAAACCTCCTGCCTTGGCTTCCCAAAATGCTGGTGTTGGGATTACAGACATGAACCACCACATCCAGTTGGATTGACACTTTTAACATCATAAAATGTCTTTTGTTATCTCTAGTGATAAATTTTGTTTTACAGGTCTGTTTTGTCTCATATTGATACAGCCACTCCCACTCTTTTTTGGTTATCATTAACTCAGCATATTTTCTTCCATCCTTTTTCTTTCATCCTATTGTGTCTTTAAATCTGTAGTTTGTTTCTTGTCAACAGCATATACTAGGATCATATTTGTGCTTTTTTAAATATATACTTAAGTTCTGGAGTAAATGTGTAGATCTTGCAGGATAGTTACATAGGTATACACATGCCATGGTGGTTTGCTGCCTCCATCCCCCCACCACCTACATTAGGTATTTCTCCTAATGTTATCCCTACCCAACCTCCCCACCCCACGCTATTGCTCCCCTAGCCTCCCACCCCACAACAGACCCCAGTGTGTGATGTCCTCCTCCCTGTGTTCATGTGTTCTCATTGTTCAACACCCACTTATGAGTGAGAACATACAGTGTTTGATTTTCTGTTCTTATGTCAGTTTGCTGAGAATGATGGTTTCTGGATTCATCCACGTCCCTGCAAAGGACATTAACTCATCCTTTTTTATGGCTGTATAGTATTCCATGGTGTATATATGCCACATTTTCCTTGTCCAGTCTATCATCAATGGGCATTTGAGTTGGTTCCAAGTCTTTGCTATTGTAAACAGTGCTGCAATGAACATACATGTGCATGTGTCTTTATAATAGAACGGTTTATAATCCTTTGGGTGTATACCAAGTAATGGGATTGCTGGGTCAAATGGAATTTCTATTTCTAGATCCTTGAGAATTGCCACACTGTCTTCCATAATGGTTAAACTAATTTACACTCTCACCAACAGTGTAAAAATGTTCCTATTTCTCCACATCCTCCCCAGCATCTGTTGTCTCCAGATTTTTTAATGATTGCCATTCTAACTGGCGTGAGATGGTATCTCAATGTGGTTTTGATTTGCGTTTCTCTAAAGACCAGTGATGATGAGCATTTTTTCATGTTTTTGGCTGCATAAATGTCTTCTTTTGAAAAGTGCCTGTTCATATCCTTCACCCACTTTTTGATGGGGTTGTTTTTTTTTTCTTGTAAATTTGCTTTAGTTCTTTGTAGATTCTGGATGCTAGCCCTTTTTCAAATGGGTAGCTTCAAAATTTTTTTCCCATTCTGTTGGTTGTGGCAATACCATTTAGGACATAGGCATAGGCAAGGACTTCATGACTAAAACACCAAAAGCAATGGCAACAAAAGCCAAAATAGACAAATGGGATCTAATTAAACTTAAGAGCTTCTGCACAGCAAAAGGAACAATCATATTTGGGTTTTTAAAAAAATCTATTCTCCTAATTTTTACTTTTTGATTGGACTGTTTGATTCATTCATATTTGATGTAATTACTAGTAAGACAGAGTTTTTGACTGCTATTTTAAAATTTATTTTCTTTGTGTTTTGCATCTTTTTAATTTTTCTATTTCTCTATCACTAATTTCTTTTGTGTTAAATACATATTTTCTAGTATGCCATTTTCATTATTATTTTTCACCTGTGTTTTTGAGTTATTTTGTTAGTGGTTGCCCTGAAGATGATAATAAAAATCTTAATTTAGAAGAATCTAATTTGGATTAATATCAACCTAATTTCAGTAGTTTATAAAAATTTTGCTCCATTATGCTACATTTCCTCCTTCCTTTTGTACTTTTGTTGTCATACAAATTACATCTTTGTGAATTATAGGCCTAACAAGATAGCTTTATAGATAGCTTTATAATTATTGCTTTGTGCATTTATCTTTAAATCAGATAGGAGATAAAACCTCAGACCAAAACATGTTTATACTGTCTTTGCATTATCCATGTAGTGACCTTCTCTGGTGTTCTTCATTTGTTCATTTGGATATTAGTTACTGTCCCATCATTTCATCCTGAGAAACTCCCTCTCGTTTTTCTCCTAGGTCAGATTTGCAAATGATGAATTTTCTCATTTTGTATCTCCTTCATTTTTGAAGGGCAGATTTTCTGGATATAAAATTCTAAGTTAACGTGTTTTTCTTTCAGCAATTTGAATATGTCATCCCACTGCCTGCTGGCTTCCACAGTTTCTGCTGAGTAGTTAGTCAAATTATTGAGATCCTTTATACCTGAGGATTGCTTTTCTTTTGCTGCTTTCATGAGTCTCTCCTTTTCTTTGACTTTCAACTGTTCGACAGTAATGTGTTTAAGTATGGATCTCTTTGAATTTGTCCTGATATTCATTGCACTTCCTGAATGTGTAAATGAATATTTTTTAATAAACTTGAAAAGGTTTGTCCATTATTTCTCCAATTATTGTTTCTCCCCTTTCCTTTCTTTTCTTTTCTTTTTCTGGAACTTCCCTTCTGTGGATGTTGGTATGCTGGATGATGTCCCACAAGTTTTTGAGGCTCTGTTCCTTTTTCTGCACATTTTCTTCGATTTCTTAGACTGCATAATCTCAATTAATCTGTCTTCAAGTCTTCTGAGTCTTTCTTCTGTCTGTTGAAATTCTCTCTTGAGCTCCTTTGGTGAATCTTTCATTATAGGAATTGTACTTTCTGACTTCAGAATTTTCATTTTCAAAAGTAATTTCTGTCTTTTTAATATCTTATATTTTATTATTATTATTTATTTTATTTTTTAATCAGTCCCACAGAAACAGGGCCTCAAAAAATTGGACTAAGACTCAGAATTGTTCCTTTCCATGGAAATCTTTAGTAAAAAGCAAAAGATTTATACGACTTGAAGAGAAACCAGAGTATATATCTTATGTTTTATAAGACATTATTTTCATACTTTCCTGTAATTTTTTTCACATAATTTTATCTATATTGTTGACTTGAAGTCTTTGTCTATTAAGTCCAACAGTGGCTTTCATTAAGGACAGTTTCTTTTGAGTGTTCTTTTTCCTGTACATAAGACTTTTTTCCTGCTTTTTAATGGCTTATAATTTTTTGTTAAAAACTGGACATTTTACATAATACAATGTGACAATTCTGGAAGTAAGATTCTCTTCACAGAGTGTTTTTGTTGTTGCTGTTTGCTTATGTATTTAATGACTTCCCTGGACTACTGCTGTAATGACTGTATTCTTTGTCATGTGTGTCCACTGAAGTCTCTTTTAGTTAGCTTAGTGGTCAGCTAGTAACTAGACAAAGTTTTCTTTATGTTTTGGACCAATAATTCTTCTATCCTTACCTGGGGCTGTGTGTGTGTGTGTGTGTGTGTGTGTGTGTGTGTGTGTGTATGAGGGGCATGCCTTCAAAACTCCTGCAGGAAGCTTTCAACACTGTCTTACCGTTCACTTCCTTCTTGAGCAGATCCTCAAGGTCAGCTAGATTTGAAAGTTCAGGGCATTCTCAGCTCTTTTTGGGCACACATGTAGTACTAGGTTTGCAAACAACCCTACATATGCTTTTAGTCTTCGGGATTCCAAGGCATATCTAAGAACATCTGAAAGTCCCTGATGGACATAATATTTCCAGATTTAACTTTTAAGTTTTTGGACAGCCTTTTCTTAGCCCCAACCGGTAATGCTTCCTCTAGCAACTGTAATGTTAAACAATTGCTGTGGATTGTTTTGACAAATTCCATGTGTGTTGTGCTATTTGTGTAGAGGGTGCCCTGAGTCTGTTCTATTAAGAAAAACCTTAAGGATGGAACTTTTCAGCAAGTTGTTAGCCAGGTCAAAAATAGTGTCAATTCTTTGGGGCTGGCCCTTTTCTGAGCTCTGCACACATTTTGCCTCCTCTAGTGGCTGCTAGGCCAATGATTTTCAGAGCTACTCAATTGGGGTTTTAAGATTCTGAAGCGCTAGGGAGAGGTGTATGTCATTAGAACAACTTGAAACGCACAAAGCTCACTCCTCTTACTTAGGTTCAGCTGTTTTTCTTGAGTTTGCACATATGAAATTTTTGAAGAGTTTAATTTTCAAAGTTTTGAAGAAGTTGAATTTGACATTTTTTAAGAGTGTTGTCATTGTTTTTCTGGAGTAGATTTTTAGAGATCTTTATTCCACCATTCCGGAAGTTGTATTCATGGTAAGGGAGAGCATCATCTCTGCCAAGCTTTGGCAGTGTCTTTTGGTTGATGGCTATTACTAGACCAAAATAAGGACTGTTATCTATCAAAGACACCATGAAAAGAATAAACATAGAAGCCAAAGAGTGGAAAATATTTGCAGTACATTTGACTGACAAAAATTGTCACAAATCAGTAAGATTAAAGAGTAAGTCAGCCACGGTTGAATAAAAAATTAGTAAACTGAAGGAATTATTTGAAATTCTACCCAAAAGACAGAGATGCAAAATGTAAAAGCTGCTGAGTAACAAGGAAGTGAGAGTAAGAAGGTCTAGCATATATCTAATTGGATATACAAAAAGGAATAATAGAGAAAATAGAGAAGAAATTGTTTTCAAAGACATATGGCTAGGAGTTTTCCAGAGATGTTTCTAGATATCAACTCTCAATCACAGGGAGCCAAATGAACCTCAAATAGGAAAAAAATCTACAACTAGATGTAACATAGAAAACTATAGGACGTGAAAGACAAAAAGAAGATCCTTAAAGGAGGGTTAAATCTCACTTTTCAGCAATCATGATAATTAGAGTCAGCGAATTATTTTCAGTGTACTAAGAAATCATAAAGAAGTAGCCACAATTCTCTACCCAGTGAGATCATCTTTAAAAGCAAGGATGAAGTAAAAACATGTTTTACTTAAACACGGGACGCTCACTTACAAAAGACACTCACTAAGGAAGCTTAAAAAAAAAAAAAAAAAAAGGCCTGGCATGGTGGCTCAAGCCTGTAATCCCAGCACTTTGGGAGGCTGAGGCGGGCAGATCACTTGAGGTCAGGAGTTCGAGACCAGCCTGGTCAATTATGATGAAACCTTGTCTCTACTAAAAATACAAAAATTAGCCAGGCGTAGGGTGCATGTCTGTAATTCCAGCTACTCAGGAGGCTAAGGCAGGAGAATTGCTTGAACCTGGGAAATGGAAGTTGCAGTGAGCCGAGATTGCACCACTACACTCCAGCCTGGGTGACAGAGCAACACTCCGTCTCCAAAAAAATTATATATCTATACACTTCAGATATAATGTCTGAGAGACAAGAGGAAATTGCGAACAAATATATTGTTAAATATAAATAAATATACAAGGTATAAAATAATGAAAGTAATGTCTAATTTAGGGGTGGAGGTAATAGACTAGAATCCATTTCTTGAACAAAAGCTGGTCAGGTGATCACAGTTGAAGTGTTCGGTGGTTAAGAGAATGAATTCTAGAACTAGATTGCTTTGATCTTGACTCTGGTCCGTATTATCTGTGTGACTTTGAGCAAGATGTTAATTACTGTCTCTCTCTGTCTTTACTTGTCTTGATATGAGAACAGTTATAACATTTACCTCATAAGCTATTGTGATGGTTAAATTGGTTTATGTGTATCAAGGGCTTGGATCAGTGCTTGAACATAAAAACTGCTTTAAAATGCTAGCTATGATTCTTATAAAAGCACTCTAAAGTCCTTATATTGCAAGGTAAAATACACAAACACATAATCATGTTAAGAGACTTTAACAAAGCACTTTTGACAGTGATGACTGGCAAAGTGAAAATATAATTAACAAGCTTGTTTTAAGTGATTCATATAAATCTTTGTATCAAATTAACTCAAGCTATATAGGCTTTTCAAAAATCTGTTTGTTAGTCCACAAGATAATTCCTAGATATCAAAATCAAACACTGCTGTTATCTTCCCAATGTCTATGCCACCTTTCTTTTCTTTTTTCTTTTTTTTTTTTTTTGAGACAGAGTCTTGCTCTGTCACCCAGGCTGGAGTGCAGTGGTGCAATCTCAGCTCACTGCAACCTCCGCCTCCCGGGTTCAGGTGATTCTTCTGCCTCAGTCTCCCTAGTAGCTGGGATTACAGGTGCACACGACTATGCCTGGCTAATTTTTTTCTGTTTTTAGTAGACAGAGTTTCACCGTGTTGTCCAGGTTGGTCTCAAACTCCTGACCTCAGGTGATCCATCTGCCTCAGCCTCGCCAAGTGCTGGGACTACAGGCATGAGCCACTGCGCTCGGCCTATGCCACCTTTCTTATGCACAGAACACTGGTTTCCTATAGAGTGGGAATGTGTCCAGCAAAAACACATTTTCCCAGATGTCCTTACACTTGTGGCCATATGACTAGTTTTGGTCCCAGAGATGCAAGTGGAAGTCATTGGGTTAGATTTCTGGGAAAGCTTAAAACTCTATGTGCAAATGTGCCTTGAACTGGTGACTTTCTCATCCTCTGGCTCTGTGTGTATGTTGACACAAGGCTTCAAAGCTCCAGAAGCAGTCCACAACTCTGCTTTACCTTTCATTTCTTGATGGCACAGAAGCTCAAGGTCAGCTGCGGGTGAAAGCTAATGGTCCCCTCAGGTCTTTCCTGGGCACGTGTACAGCCCTGGGTGTGCATGTGGCCTTCCAAAGTCTCCATAATATGTAGGAGCTTTTCAATGCCCCCTATGGACTTCCTTCTAAATAATCTACTTATTGGGTGAGACTTCATTAAAAATCTCTATGACTTCAAAAATGGACTTTGACAAGCTGAAATTGGCCAAGAAGAACAAGAAAGCAGAATTTTCTATTTGTGTTATCAAAATACACTGTAAAACTATGGTGACTATAACAGGGTGGCGTGATTGCAGAAATATATAGCATGATGAAAAAAGTTCAGAATTAGATACACACATACATTTTGCACATGATATAGGTGACATTTTAAATTCGTGTGGGAAGGATGAATTATTCCAAAAAGAGATTGGAATGGCTGGCACTCCATTTAGGAGAAAAATACATCCTTACCTCATTCTTACACAAGAATAAACTTCAAATGAATTAAAACCTATACATAAAAAACAAAGAAAACCTCAAAGCAAATCTTTATACATTTAACTATGTAAAACTTAAAAACTTCCTCAGAGTGAAGATCACCACAAATGAAATTGAAGGCAAACAATAGGCTGAGAGACAATTCTTATAAAATATGCAGCAGAATAAGAAAACTCCAACTAAATAATGGTATTCTATTTTTAACCTATTGGCTAGGTTAAAATAAAAAGCAAATAAAAACTTTTAAGAGGTTGATACTACACATTTTTTTTTTTGAGACGAAGTCTCACCTTGTTGTCCAGACTGGAGTGCAGCTCCATGTGACCTCAGCTCACTGCAACGTCTGCCTTCTGGGTTCAAGCGATTCTCCTGCCTCAGCCTCCAAAGTAGCTGAGATCACAGATGTGCACCACCACGCCAGGCCAATTTCTGTATTTTTAGTAGAAATGGGGTTCATCATGTTGGCCAGGCTGGTCTAGAATTCCTGACCTCCAGCGATCCATCCACTTTAGCTTCCCAAAGTGCTTGGATTATAGGCACAAGCCACCGCGCCTGGCCTGATACTACGCAATATTGATGTAGCTGTGAAGACATAGTCACTCTCATTTATTGCTAATGAAAGTACAAACTGGTGGAGCTGTTTGGAAGTCAATCCGTCAGGATGGAACACAGTTTTAAATACACCATTCTTCTAGAAATGCATGCTGCAGGATATTTTCACAAACACAAAAGCACCTGCACAAAAGTGTATATGCTGCTTATTGCAGTACTGCTTGTGAGAATGAAAATTGAGGGACCTGAATGTCCATCAGTAGATAGAGAAAGAGGGGATGGGAGAGAGAGAGAGACAGAGGGGGGGAGAGAGAGAGAGAGAGAGGGA